TCCCCCCCCCCCCCCCCCTAACTACATTTTCAGCAGAGAGTTCTTCTTTCGACTGTCTGCGAATAGATGACAGGTTGCGGAACTTGAGCAGATTCGGGAACAAGAGAATTTTCGTTCACTTAAATTCTACCGCAGCTTTCGCGGTGGCGAGCACAGGAAAAGTCGTTTTTGAATTCCCAACTCCTATTATCCTACTATATATTTATAACGCGCCAAGTGTGTCTGTTGATTTGTCTCTGTGTGTGTTTGAACGGGAAGTCATAACTTGTGTTCCCGTGGACGCAGGATAGGAACACTCACGGTGGTGGCACGGCTGCACCCTGCCCACAGGGGAGGGGGTTTGAGCGGAAACTCATAAATCCTGTTCTTGTAGACCTTGAGTGTTCAAATTTGGTGGGAGCACAGGAGGCAGGATAGCAACACTCATGGTGGGTAGCAGAACAGAACTCCTCCCACACGAGATGGGGTTTTTGCGAAAAATTTGAACTTTGGCCTAGAGCGCTCATATTCGACAGAAGTACAGGGGCAGGATGGGAGCACCTATGTTGGGTGGCAGGACTTGACTCCGCTCACAGGAGGCAAGGCATGGGAAAAAAGTTAATTTGGACTTGAAGCGAAGTTTCGAAACCAAGTTTGAATAAGTCGGGAATAAATCGAGTTACTCAGTTTCACAGAACCTAAGGAGGTTTGTTCATGGCGGACGGGGTGCGCACGAAATGTGTTGGGTGTTTGTGTTTGGCCAGGAATGAATAACTCCTGTCCTTTTCCACAGAAGCCTCAAAATTTGGAAAAGGTGCAGGTGAGGCGTTTCAATACGAGTAAGAGGGGAGCTTGGCGTCGGCCGGGCGAGCCGACTGGTATTTAGTGCATTCAAGTTCATTTGGGTCCTAACGACCTGGTTCATGCTACCAACAGCTGCTAGATCACTTCCACATTATAAGAATTTCTGTACTTACAATTAGTGCATGAAATTAAATTGTTATAGTGAGGTTGGGACAAACTACTTCACTTTTAAGTCAGCTGGCCTCCCGTACGATTTCTTTGTAAGTGCAGTCAATCCGACCCCATAGTATTGTACGTGGAACACTACATCGCGTGCTCTTCTGGGTGGGTGGGTGTGTTTTCGTATAAATGTGTTATGTACATGTGTGTATGTATGTATATGTGTGTATGTGTTTGTGTGTACGGCCCGGAATCTATAACTTCGGCTGCCCTTTACATAATCGTTCAAATTTGGTAGGGACGTAGGTGGCGGGTGTACCATAAACGGAAAGAAGGAGAACCCGCCGTTAGCCGAGCGATTCGATTAATTGATCCGCTCAGAATCATTGAATACGAGAAGCGCCTGCTCAGTTACATGATACAAATCTGATGAATTATCCTATATGCGTTGTGCTAAAGACTGGTTGCCATTGAGTTCTCGACGAGTCGAACGATTCGCTCTGAAAAATGTGGGAAGAGATCAGCGGTGCCTTTTCTGTCCCGTGCGGTAGATACATAGGTCTTCAGAAGGCATTGTCACTTTCTCGATACTAATGACGAGGAAGAAATACTGGTGCCATCAACTGATTGCCAACTTGCCACAGATGTACTTTCTCGTCTAAATCTTTTCTAGTCTCTTCTCTCTTTTCTTTCTTTGGCTGCTTTTCAGCTGCCTTATCATTTATATTTACTTCAATTCTTTATCGTGATTCCAACATTCTGAAATACTGTCCAAATTTCACAAAGACGTTTATTTTAGGGTATCATATATATCCACCAAACCTACGGTCCACATGGTTGGCTTAGTTCCGGCACTTGTCTAGTAGATGAAAGGTGGCAGGTGAGTACCCTTAACTAGCCAACTTCTGCTCCGCTTTCTAGTACAGCATTTTTATCTGAAATCAGTGAGAGCCAAGTCTTCTCCAACTCTATCTACCCATGCTTCAAATCATCGTCTAGAATTTCAATTTGTCTGGTTTTCAGGTGAAGATAACGTATTACGGCTTAGACACCATCAAGGCTTTGGAAGTCAAGGAGCCCAAATGTGGGTTTGCTGAGATTTCTGCATTTAGAGTTCAGCATGAAGTCAGTACGGACCTTCTTCTTCAGTCAGCATTTCAGACGGCTCAGGAGCATACAAAGTTTTTTAAAAAGCCCAAAGTTCACAAAAACTGGCCACAGTTGTAGAAACGACAGCTACCATCTGAGGAACGTCCAGTCCGAGCATGAATTGGAACTAGGGGACCAAGCGGAAGTCGTATGCGCCTGCGATGTCTGTCGAGAGTAGCGGGCTGACTCGATGCGTGCGACGGCTGCGGCGTGACGTAGTTTTGACGGACGCGTAGAACGAGGCGCACCCCCGTCGTCAATGTAAAGATGGTAGTTATAATGGCTGCTATGAACAGTCACGCTAAGTGGAGGTGAGAGTGTAAAACAGGACTCACTCTGGGTCGTTTCGTGTCCACGTCACTCGAGAGAAGGCGAGTTTTTCGGGGAGTCGGCGAAGCTGTAATTAGAAACATATCGGCAGCTGGTATGAAAAATTTGACAAATACTTCCTTATGTGCATATTTTCCTGACGTCGTTAATGTCGTGAGTGTATTACGGCGCCTCAAAATATCTCTCAGAATTTTACTCATGTGTAAGTATTTTTCTGAAATGTTCTTGAAGTTCTCACGGAGCTATTACGCTACATGATGTAAAGGGGTACTACCCACCTGTATGAGCATTGAATATCGGCTCTATCTCTTTATATTTCTTTACATTAGGTGTGTGCATTAATTTCCGCCGTTTTTCGCGTGCAAAAACGTACTTATTACTAAATTGAAACCAAATGTACATTAACCAATGTATTGCCCATCGTTAGCTACAATTGCTTGCCATCTTTCTGGTATCTTGTACTCCGGGTCTAAAAAAGACTTCATCTTTTGAGGCGATCTTGTTATCCACCCATTTTCGCACTTCTTCGGCATTCCGGAAGCATATATCTGCCAAACTGACTTGCATGGACCGGAATAGGTGGTCATCAGAAAATGCAAGTTCCGGAGAGTATGCGGAATGAACAAGCTGATCCCATCCAACAACTGCAGTTTTTTAAAGAACATTCTTCGCAACATGGGGTCTGGCATGTCCGCGGTGGAACAGCACCTCATGATATTTTCTTGCGATTAACGGCCGCTTGTAGGTAGAGCATCCTACAAACTGTCAAGTTGGCGTTCGTAGCGGTCAGCAGTAACAGTTTCGTTTGGGCTCAGCAGCTCATAGTTCAAAACACCCTTTTAGTCCCACCACCAAATGCACGCACAGAATTACTTTTTGGCAATAAACATTCCGATTTCGTTGCAAGCTCTCGAGTGAGGAGAAACCATCTCGGCAGGTTCGTTCAGATGAAGCTTTTCCTCCATAGAAGCAGCCGGTGGGCTTCAACGTCAGGTTTCTTGAAATCAAACAGCAGGGGAAGGGCCCCCGGGGAAACGGTTCATCACGTTCCATGACCAATCAGTCTGAGAGCAACAGGATTTTGGGGCAAAACTGATCTGTCTGCCCTTAAGTAGGTAGCCAATACCCTACCTTACAGAACATGACAGGTTTCACCGGTAAACCTCTAATATGGTTCGCGCAACGGCCCTTGAAAATCGGCGGCGGAAATTGTTGCACACACCTAATAACTTATTTAAGCCCATAATGGCCGACGTATGTATCTCCCCATATTCGACGCGTACTTGTTTTAGAAATCAAATCCGGCCACTCTGCTTGTAAATTTTTTCGAAATCTATCTCAAGTATCGGGCAATGAGGCACACACTGAGTGGTCTGCGCGTATCTGTTCCAATGCAGCGCCGTGTACAAAAGCTCGATGATGATTTCTCCAGCCGATCGAATGCGACATCGTTCGATAAACTGACGAGACTGGTCAATACGATTGCATTTCTGTGGGGCTACCGAAACATTCCAGAAAAGGTTCCACTATCCTCCAACTTCGAGCGTATATTCCACTAACACAGTAATACATACATCTCGTAATGTATTAAAAAGAGATGCAGTTGAGCGATGTGGAAGTACAAACAATTTGCATAGTAGTGGTGCGGGTTGAATCTTGTTCGAGGACGAGAGGCTTAACATGGCTCTAAAAATTAAGAATTCCTTGGGAAATGCCTCGGTATGCTCTGCGGCTACAAAACGCTGCATAATGATGAACTTTTTGCCCATCAATATGTGCTGTATGCGTGGCCCCATGAGGCTCTTATCAATACAAAGCAGTGGGTTCAAAGGAGTAACGGAACTTCTCCCCTATCGCGGCATTCTCCCTTGCGGTATGCGGCAAATGTCACTGCAATTACCGTACTCAACCCGCCTCTCGCCAATCGATAGAACGCGATATTTTTCGTTGATTGGCTTGCTTTTTCATTGAATTTGATCGTTTTTTCTTCTGTTTCTCTTTAGTTTTCATGTTTATTAGACTTGATTAATTAAAATGACTCCTCCTATATAAACGACAATCAAGACCGCATTGGAATTGAAAAGAGCGGCCAGCCAATTCAAATAATTAAAGGACTCTCTACCTCACAAATCGCATGCTCCAATCTCCCATGGCAATCCTGCGATAGGCGGCGGGTGCGGCGTGTGCGACGCCGTGTTAGGGGAGAAGTTCCCGGACCCGGTTCAAAGTGTTCAAACCGAGATGGGCCATAATAAATGAGGAGAACCATTGGGATGGGACGGATTTGTGCAGCTTTGTTCCAAGAAGTTTGTAAGTGATGAATCAAAAGTTGAAATGATATTTTATCCTTAAATTACAGATCTGCTTTGGACAGCACCAGAACACATTCGGGACCCTGTTTTGCCACCAACTAAGGAAGGTGACATATACAGGTGAGCGCAACGGTTTACTTATCTGACGGATTCTAACAACCTCTCCTCACTTCCCTTTACAGTCAATCAAGTAGAGTTTATACTTTTCGGGGGACGTTCGAGTCGCGCGATTCCGTGTGCGCGCGGCAAACTGCGCGGCAAAATGCGCGATGATTCAAACAACTCCTGCGCCTATCATTGGGGCACAAGCTCAAAGTAGAGTACTTTAGTAGGGGCGGACAATCCTACTAACCTACTTTACTTCAAATATGGGCCTCAATGATAAACGCTGCAGTCGTCCAAATCGCACCGAATTTCGCCGCGCAGTTTGCCGCGAATGCACGAATCGACACACCCCCATACTTTTCATGCTTAACTCGCAATGCCTCTCGTGAACCACAGGACGGTCCAAAAA